TACTGATTAAATACACATTTACAACAACTTTAAGTATAGGACAAATATTAATTCAGTTATCCTAAGTATTTTTGTTTCTAATCTCAGTCACTGGGAGGTGATTTATAAGATTTCAATTACAAATATGTCTAAATGAAAGGCAATTCTAAAAAGAATCTGTATCATTAGGCACTTATAGCATCCTATAACTAGCCAAATGCCAATCAGTCTAGTGATTTTACAATAAACACTGTTATTCACACATATCAGTCCATTTTCATTTAAGTGCTTTATTTAGCTTCTAATAGGATACATGTATCAAATAAGGATCTAAGAAGAAAAATCAGACATTTCCAGTATAAGTGATATAATATACAAGATTCTTTCAAAGAAAACTGAGATTATAATGCTCTTATAAATGGGATAAGAACAAAATCCACCAACATTTTCTCTCTGATAATTTTTTTTAAAAATTACTATTAAGCAAAAGGAAAACATGAGTTCAGGTTAGGTATTACATCAATTTAAAGCTAGCTATACAGGGTGTTTTACTTGTTAACTCCTTTTTCAAAATATATATATTTTTAAGTAAAGGCAGTAACAGATTACTAACAAAGATTGACAGATGGGACAACACTACAGGGAAAAGACAGCAAACATAGCTGTTTCACGTGTCTAAAACGATTATATATGGGAGAAAGGACTTTCTTATCAATCAGTCTTAGACCACTGCCTCCTAGACCTAAACAAGGCTGGTGGCAGAAAAACATCTCAAGCTGGTCATCATTTAGGGAAGAGCAAGAGCCTTTAAAGAAAAAGAACAAAATTGTCAGGTGACAGCTTGTCAAGACCATACCCTGGGAACTTCCTCCACTGTCAATCTACACTGTGTCTGAACCAAGAGGCCTGATGTTGTCCAGATCCTGGGATTTTCTGTCAAAAGGCTTTTTAAAGAGGCACATGTAAGAAACAGAGAACGTACATTGGCAAGTAACAATATTACCAAGGCTGTCCAGATGATCTGTTTGGTGTTTTTCTCCGTTCTGCTATCATGCCTCTTTGCATTAAATCAGTTTAGGAGATAAATAAACAGCTTTTCAAATTCCCTTTGCTGTCAGAAGCTTGACAAAAGAAAGTCTCAAACACAGGCACGCTGCTGCACCTACCTGGAGCATGCCTTGGCCACTTCCTTCTATGGTACCTTCGTAAGTGACATGGAGTCGAGTCAGGGGGTTTTCACATCTACAATTTAAAAAGATATTCTTTTATTTATTTATTTTTAATTTTTTATTTATTTCCTTTTTAGCTGAGCCATCCTGCCATCTGTTGGCAGCTCAGCGGCAGCTCAGCTCAGGCTGGGAATCAAACCGCTATTGCTCAGAGCTCAAACTCTTAGCGAGCTCTTAACCAACTGAGCCACTTGGCCGGCCCTTATTTATTTTTTTAATGACAGGTATTTCACTACAGAAAATATAGATTAGCTATAAAAGAAAAATTGAAACCACGGCAAACCTCATAAGCCAGAAACAAATTCCTACTGTTAACATTCTTTCTTGGTATAGGCTCTCCCAAACAGTTTCTTATTCAAATATACAAGAATACATACTTAGATTAAAATGAGGTAATGTACTGGTTTGACGCCTGTTTTTCACCTACAAAACATCAAAGTTTCTCCTCTTCAAGAGTTGAAAAACTTCTCAAAATATAGATATAAAAAATAAGATCTATAAATTTTTATTACTCTACAGTTGGAAATCTAAGGAAAAATATAGAAAAATTTGACAATAAATCATATATGATTCTCAGATGGGCTGCATTTTCACTAGTTTGATCATCGTGTGTATATGGGGGATGTCTTGATGAAAATACATGCCACAGAAATTCTGATCTATGGCATTTTTATATTAACAAAATTGACAGATGAACCTAGTATCTGTAAGTCACAATTATTTTCTTTCATTTTCATAAACCATTGTCACCTTAGTGTAAGGTGTTTATCGAGTTCAGGACACACTACCCCCAAAATATGGCACTTTGGCATGCTGAATATTTAAAGCTGAAGAAATTTGAGAAAACGGTAGAAGCAGGAAGGTCACTTGGGCCTCCCCTGCCGCTTCTTTCCTGAGACAGGCCATAGTACTCTCTGTGAGAGGTACCCTCCCTATCCTCAGAGGAAAGGAGCATCTTTATCTTAGAAGATAAAGAGATCCCAAGAAGAATTCTACCAAACAGGCCATGCTGTCTCCTCCAGTTTTCTACAATTATACCATACTACTTTACCCATCCTATTCCTCCATGACTGTTGAATCGTCATCAAACCTAGCATAAAACTACAGAGGTGTATGTCTTTCGGTCTTCATTTCCTTATGAAGGCTCCCATGTCATGTAAAACATCAAATAAATGTGTATGCTTTGCTCCTGTTAATGTGTCTTTGTCTCTTTAATTTTCAGACCCAGCCAGGAACCCTAAGAGTGTTTATCTGACTTACATTATATTAAAAAAAATTCCCTTTTTATTAATAACATTTGATGATATTTTTCCTTAATAGACTTTTTCCCCGATTATTTATTGAATAAAAAAATATAAATTATAATAGCATGTAACAGATGAGATCCAAACCCCTAACTTATATAAGGGTAGCATTAATTTTGGGAGAAGCGGGGAATTATATACTTTTAAAAACAATTTAGCTGGGGAAGCACTATTTACTTACTGGGGTTTGCTTTTTCTTCCTGGTTTCAATGAGTCCAAATACATTTCTGGCTAAGCTTCATTCAGTCCAACACACTTATAACCTTAAACTCAGAAGCTAATTCATTACAGGTTCTAAGAGCTTCATTTGTGTGAACTCATTTAATCCTCACAATAGCCCTATCACTACCTCCTTTTACAGAGGAAAACAAAGCACAGAAAGTAGTTAAGTAACCTGCACAAGGCTAGTCAATGAAGCAAGAAAGATTTGAAAATATCTGTATTTGAAAAAAGTATGCTATACTTTTAGAAAAATTACTTTCCAAATCTCTTGTAGAAAATAGTACCATGAGATTGGTTTTTTAACTCCTTTGTTTTTTTTTTCCTAGCTATTTTATTCTAAGGGAGCCCACCTGTGAGGATACCACTAAAAAGATAAAGAAGCATGATCCAGAAATCTCTGGTTTGGCAGTCAGGACTTCAAAACAGAAATCGCAACTGTCCTCATCGATGTTCCATGACTGAAGTTGTCAACAGTTCTCAATAAAATTACAAAATTGCTAGAAACTGGGTTTTTGGTTTTTTTTCTAAAGCATCCTCCAAACTCCTGAGAAGTTTCCCCTTCTGGCCCCAGCAAATCCTCCATTGCACTGCCCCAGGAATCCAGGACATAGCCTATCTGGCTCTCTGTGATTAACTAAGCCTGACTAAGGCACTTGCTGATAATCACAGACTAACTATAACATGCCCAAAACTTGGAAGTCAGAAAAGCCTCAAACTTCCAGGGACCCAGTCAGCCCCTTGCTCTTGGGAACATCCCTCATCTCTTCTTCATTCTCCCTCTTTAAGTGAATGCATGTTTCTGGTTCTGTAGAGTCTCCGGGAGACTGATTTTAATTACATTCACCAACTCACTTATGAAGTAGCTAAAACAAAACAGAGATCAAAAAATTCTTTTTAAACTTAGAAAGGTTACCAGTTAAATTCTGCATATTAAAGTTAAGGGGAATATCTAGATCTTACTTAGGGGCAAAGTTATCTCACTGACACAATAGCCTCAAAGATCTCTGCATTTTGACCTATCCCTTCTCTCCCAGATGGTAGTGTACAAATGAGTGTCCTTGCACATTAATACCAAACGAATGTCAGATGCAGAGTAGAGATCCTGAGTTGAATTAAAAACAAACCCTTGGAATGATCTATAAAGTCTACACCAAAGTGATATGAACAAAATATCTGAATTCCTATTAGAGACTAACAGAACAGCTAAGAAAAGTAATGCTCTGTACTCCTCTGGGCAGATAACAAAGCAGATTGTTACTTTCAGTTCTAGGCATCATGTTTTAACCCTCCGTCAGGTGTAACTGATCTCACAGATTCACTGCACATAAATTTTCAAATATCTAACTGTTAAGTATCATGACTCATCATTTCCATATCTTCCCTCTCTACCGTATCCTATCGCCAGTCGTGTTTGTGACTTAATACAATAAAGACGTATTTCATATTTGAAAATTTGTGTGCAATGAATCTGTAAGGTCAGTTGCGCCTGACAGAGGGTTAAGAGGGACCAATGACCTGGGGTTAAGAAGGACCAATGACCTGGGGTATGTAAAGAACAGAGTTAAAGGGTTTAGAATTCCTATTATATCCGCAATAGAAGAAATGAGTAATTAAGTATGTACCTGTGTGCATTATTAGAGGTGGACTGACTCAAGAAAGCATTAAGATGCATGAAGGAGGGTTGAATGTTAAAGAAAATTATATTTATTTATTGTAGCTCCAGAAAGAAGAACCAAGTATGGGGGAGAGGGGGTTTATTGGGAAAACAGACTTTTTACTGAATGAAACTATGAGATACTAATCTAATCTAATAATAATATAGATATTAGATAATACAATAATATCTATTATCTAATAGGTTACATTAGATAATAACATAAAAATTCACTGAGGTGAAAGAGTGAATTTCCCATCATGGAAGCTGTCTAGCCTCTGCCATCAGTATTATAGTTGATTGCTCTCTTTAGTAGGCAGCTGGGCCAGAGGACTTCCCGGGGTCCCTTTCATCTCTAACATGCCACGACTCCAAAATGCTGTATATGTTCTTGTCCTTTCTGGCTCAATTTTGTTTCTGTTTTTTTTTTTTTTTCTTCAAGTTGTTAAATCTTTTATCCACTTCACCTTAACCATGCAGTCAGCCTCCTAGTAAGTTTGTTTTTCTTCCACCTCACAAATAAACATCTTTGATGAATGAAAACACCATGGAAAAGCTACCTAAACAGATGTGCCTTCTCAAGTTAACACCCTTAAGAGTGAGTCCCTTTCATCACTAATTCCAAACAAAACAATTACAAACTATGATAAAATTATTAGAAAGTGAAAATGAAAGGCACTGGTTAACATGAATGCACACTCAAAATATGCACTTAGTATGTCGGGTCATGTCCTCACGTGCATTGAAAAAGTCTATCCATTCTTCTTTAAGTGCTTTGGGGACTTGCTCTAGATTAGGAAATGTGTTACCTATTCCAGGGCACTGGAATCTGAATGAACTCAGATCTGAATAAGAAATCTGAATGAACTCAGATTGGATATTATTCTCCTTGGTATTTGCAGATAAGTAATAAGGAAAAAAAACAGTAAATTAGCAACATCCACAAAATCTGCCAATAGTACATGTGGACAGCCAAGCTTCAAAATTTTTGTCCCTCAGGCAAATTCTAGGTAATTACTATTTATTTGTTAGTTTATTTAAAGAAAAACTTTTCTTAATCTTGTCCTTCAGGAAAAAACAGTCATAAAATACAAACGCTAACAAAAAAGAAGTGGGTAAGGAGGAACATTAAATATTGGTGTTCCAGGCTAGCCGAGTGGCACGTTGGTTAAGAGCTGGCTTGGGATACCAGCTCTGAGCAGCAGGGCCCCGGTTCAGATCCCACATGAGGGCCAGTGACGCTGCACCCTCTACAGCTAAGATGGTGAACAACAGCTCCACCTGGAGCTGGGCTGCCATGAGTCGTCGGCAACGCCATAGGCTGCAGTGGGACTGGCCAGCAGCTGGCGTGCGCTTTCATGAACTGCCGTGAGCCCCCGCGAATGACTGCCTCACCCGGGAAGAGTGCAATCATCACAATACCAACATGGGCCAGTGAAGCGATGTCCTCCGCAACTAGACTGAAGAACAAAAGGATAGCGACTTATCTGTTTCCCTTTCCTGATTCCCCAGTGCTGTTCCCCTCCCCCAATGCTCCAATAAAATCTTAAAAAAAAAATATTGCTGTTCCATTTAATATTAGTGTCTTCACACATGACACTCCTTATAAGTTCTAAATAGGACTTCGTTTCGGAAGACAAAACTAACCACAAGAGTAAAAGTCAAAGGGTTGCAGACTTTGATTAAAAAAACACGACCTTTCTAAACAACAAGGGCTATCAACGGATCACTTATAAGAAAAAACTCCCTAGCACTAGGGCAATTAAGAGATTGGAAAACCGTTTTTCCAGGAGCTGTAAAATAAAACCCTCTTTTGGTAAAATAGTCCTTCTAATTCTAAGATTCCAGGATTATTTTTATCATTATTACCTCTCCCACTCTGGAAAATCTTCAAGACTCTGTCTTGTAAATGTCACCAATCCAGTAGGTTCTACAAAAGCAATAAATGAAAAAAACACACCCAAAAATAAGTTTCGGTTTTGAAAAGGTTATATATATAGATACAGATATAGATATAGATATTCAGTAAAAGAATGGTCTAACAAGGGCTATAAACTAATCAAGAAATACCAAGCCTAGTGTTGTATTACAACAAAAGACTGATTTAAAGTAATATTAGCTTTACAGTAGAACTCATTTTATAAAATAGTTAAGCCCTCACCAAAACACAAAACTATACAAACAACAGTACAACAGCAGGAGGGTTTGAGTGCTGGTACTTTTTAGCGACATTTTCTAAACTGTATAAACTTTTAAGAAATAATTGGGGAAAAAAGGTGCATAATAGGTGTAGCTTATACAATAAAGACAAAACTGAATTTTATTCTGTAGACTCCTTCTCAAAGAAAAACCTTAACTCTACACTTAAAAACTGGTGAATGTATACTTATTTATGTGTTTTACAATGAAATAAAATGTTTAGGATTAAAAAGGAAAATTGTTGGCATGTCTTTGTAAATGACACAGCCAAATCCAGGGCTTAGATGATATGCAATTGCTCTGCTTACAAGGCTCTTTAGCCAGAAGGAGGAATTACTTTGAAAAGAAAGATGACATAGTTTTCAGGGAGCAGTACATATGAGGATCAAAATGCAGTAAATTTTAGAGGATAAAAAAATCCTTTTTTGTTAGGTTTACTTTTTTTTTTTTTTAACTAGCAGCAAAAGCAACAACTTAAATCAGCTGGCCAAAAGTAATTTGTTTGATTCAAACTAAAGAACAAACTAAAAAATCCAGGCCATTTCTCTTTTCTTTTGTTTAAAAAAAAAAAAAAAGCTCTTAAGCAAAGAGAAATATGTCAGGAACTATTAGAGATAACAGTGGTGGAGTCCCAATGAAACTCAGCAATCATTTCATGCCTTTGAATGATGCCACATTTCTCTTTCAGTCACGAGCAGTAACAATTTAAAAATCCTATGGAGTGGTATTAGAAAACAGAATTTTGTTAACATGAGTTATAAAATATTCCTTAGATATCCAACTTTCTTTAAGACAAACGGATAGCATATTTAAAACTCTCAAGTAAGAGGTCAAACACTAGAAAAGTAATTCTATTAATAAGAAACTAACATCAGTATCATCGTTCTGTAACTTAGCAAAATAAGAACATTAAATGTCCTTCACAAATACAAGGAGAGACCAAAAGAAATTCATAATGAACACCACTGGCAAAGCAAGAGAAAAGGCAGAAAACCATGGCTCTTTAGATATAATTAATTACAAAAATACCTGGAGAGCATGCCTATACCTTTCTTCCATAAAAAGGTACTTTCCATGCCAGAATAAGGTATTTTGGTTAATGAAACATTTCCCTTAATAAATCACAATATACACTGCATATGAATCATCAATTTTTAATACTCCATCTACAAGATACTTTATGTAAAACTATACTGAAAACAATTTGATTCAGAAAGCTCTTTAAAATCTTTTAGTCTCTAGAGCCTCATTACAAATATAACATGTTGATGTTTGACAACACTGAGAAGTTGGTCCTGATGGAATTATATTTTATCAGTTCTAAAAAGTACATTTTTCCATGTATTAAATTTCTGAAAGTGGGATACATCCTTCATCGTAAAGGTGTCTAGCCATTGCTGAAGTCTGATTCAAGTCAAATTTCCCAGAAAAGATGTGCATCTGCTACCACTCTCCTCTGACAGCACCACCAACCTAAGGTCAGTTGGAAGTAAATCCTCCATTGCTGACTTCGGTGGATCACACTGGTAACATGACATCAGACCCCAAACTTGGGTCCTGTGGTTCAAATTACCAGGAGAGACTTTTCTGTCCCCTCTCTACCCAGTTCCAAGGTTGACAGTTGCAGTTTGCTGCTTGCAGTTTGCTCATTTATCCTTAGACTAAGGGTACAGACCTTTGGTGTACCAGCTTTGTAAGAGATGTCTCCTATGATTGCCCATCCTGAGTGTTTCTCCCTTCTTAATGGTACACAACATAAAGGCACTTCTTACCATCTATGATGTCCTAGATTTGATGAAATATATGGTACTTTTAATACATTTCTAGTTTCTATTCAGTAGACTCCAGAATTTCTATATAATCATTAAACTGCAAACCTCTTTTATTCCATTTAGTATTTCCTCAAGTCTGTAGTTTTATATCCTGAAAACCTACAGCATGTTTCACTATATTTCTACAAAGAATGAAATTACCATGTACAGTGAAAAAGCCAGAAAACAAAATGTCTAATTACAATTTATTTTTTTCAGCGTGACTAATTCCTAACATTTATAATGGTTTATAAATTTCTAGTTGAAAAAACAAAATTTTAGCTTTTTTCCTCAAATTATTTAAAACCCTAAAATGCAGAAAGTGAAGTTTAGCCTTTAGAGAAGATATACATGATTTGACTCCAAGGACAGAAAAGTAAATTCTAGATTACTTAGGTATAATAATGGAATTCATTCTATTTAGATCTGGAATAGCAAAAAATGTACTCATTTTTGTAATGAATTATTACAAATTCTAATTTGGTTTAATGTCCTCAAATAAGCCTTCATTTTTCTTAATATTTCATTCAGTACAGAGCAAAAAACTAAAACTTGATAAGCTAAGACATAAACAATCCTTTATCAAAGAAACATATAATTTTTTTCCCTTAAATTTCAAAATTTGGATAATTGATTTCTTTCCAAAAACCTGAGCAACATCCAATAGCAATACATTCAGGGGGAAAAATGCCAAGTACACTATAAGTGAGATCACTTACTAAAGGAAGAATATAAGGGAAAAAGAAAAAAATGACCTTAAAATGATTCAGGGATGTGTTTGAAGACAATCCTACAACCTGGATGACCAGAACTGAAAAGAACTCATTTCACTTGACCACAGCTGACCTAGCAAAAGCCAACTTTTGAGATGTTCTGGTTTTCTTTATAACTGACTTACAGGAAAGGCCAGCCATTGGGAATAGCTAACGTTTATTAAGCATGTAACTTCTTATGTAATATCTACAACTACCCTATGAGGTAATTATCATTATCCTTTTACTTTACAGACGAGGAAACTGAGACTTAGAGATGTTAAGAAACTTATCTGTGGCCACCTATAGGGGTGGCAATACCAATCTAGAATTAGCTGTCACTAGGAGCCCTGGTTAGATATTTACCACCATCGCCTCAGGTATTACAATTAGCTTCTGTGAAAACAAGATGGTGGAGAGCCAACAGAGGAAGACAGACATACGAACACTGTTTTATAAGAATTCTGAAAAGGGTTTAAAGGGGGCACAAAAGAGAGGGAAGACAATGAATTGGTTGACTTCTACAAATAAATGGATTGCAATAGTCAATGCTTCTTTAAATAAAGAACATCCCAAATGTATTTTCTGGTCAATATACTTTCCTTTGAAAGTATTAATTTATTGTTTTTATTCCACAAAAACCCATTAGGGTATGTTACACTGGTCTAATTCCAGAGTATATAAAACCCACAGATGTTCACAGCACACATTTATGTATATACCCAACATATGCATAAAATCTAGATTATAATTTTGAATTATTTGGTTTGGGCAGGAAAGTGTACTTTGAACCCAAAATGTTCTTGATCTGAACTGTTCCCATCAGTGATAATAAAATTATAGTAAGAATGAAAGGAATTTACTTTTCTCTGTGACTCTCCTAAAGTAGCAGAAGAGTGTTTTAAGTTTCTCTGGTTTCCTTGATGAACGTCCTTCAAACAACCTGAAAGAGACCAAAAATAAGAGCGTGAAGGATGATTTAAAATGCTTTAATGGTTCACGCAAAAAAAATAAATCTATATTGCTACCAAGTAATAAAAGAAGTAATTCTCCCAGGAGGCAATTCTGTAATGACAGGGAACTGGAAACTGTCTGGATTCAGATGGCATCTGGAGAGGACTGAAACCAGCTAGAACCAGGCTTCTTAAAAGTTGTTCAAGTCAGATGGCACTCTCTAACAACCATGTCTCTCCAATCCATCTTCCTCCCGGGAGAAGGCACCATCTGGTCCCCCAAAGTCAATTAGGCCAGTGAGTTAATGCTCCATCATTTTCCCATGGCAAATACTATTTATAATTCACAGTATTACTAGGTAGTTAAATGACTGAACAAAAATGGTATCTGAAAATAACTTGCATGATTCTTTACGTTGGGGGGCAGTAGGGGAGGCAACAATTACTACGACAACGACAATGAAAGTGGGTATGACGAGATGCTAGGGGGTCAGCCAATCCTTGGTAATCAAACCAATACATCCTCTGTATGGTAACCAAACAGTGCCTACCCTATATCATCTAGTTTCCAGCAACCTAGACTTGCACTACTTAATTCAGTTTTCTTTGAAATGACGTGGCATTGTTATTGGTAACACATAATGCAATTTATCCCGAGGAAAGAAAAGCAGGGCTTTGAAAGCGTATGATCTGAGCAAGTAGCTCTCTAAAAGATTTCAAACACAAAAGCATGCTTTTAGGCAAAATATCTAGCTTCCCAAAGGCATTTAAAAATTACAGAGAAATTCTGTGGCTATAAATGATGAGGTATGACTCATCTGCTTCTAGCCATCACCCTGGCTTTAAAACCTGAAACCCTTCAAGTAAAAGTTTACTTGAGTAAGTGCCAAAATGGGTAAACATTTTCATGATTAGAAAAGCAAGCTTATGTAACTATGCAGGGAGGAAGAAGTTAATTCCATGAGAAAATCCTATTGAGCAAGTGAAATGAATTAGGAAAAGGGAAGGAAATGCAGATTTCAAATGACCCTGTTTTCAGTGATCTGAAATTCTGGGAAAGCAATTTATTTGAATACTTATTTCCTGAAAACAATACTAATGTCAGAAAGCATTTTAACCAAATCTAAAATCCACTTAATTTTTAAAAATAGTTTAAGAGTGCCTGTATGATAATTTTCACTCTTCTAAGAGAAATTATTCTTCTAAAATGTTTATTACAAATACTCTTAAAAATCTAACTGCTTGTAGAAATAAATTATCTCTGAAAAATCAGGTTTCGGCTTGGTTTCTTCTGCAATATGTCAACCAAAACAGAGTTTGTTTAAATAAAAATGATAGTCAAAATGAAGAAGCCACTTGGCAGTTTAGTTAAACATCCTGTATGAAATAAATATGATTTACTAAATGAATACCTTGGGATCCACTGCAAAATCCTTTTCTAGGTTTACTACTTAGTAGAGGGAAGCAGTATTAATGCATATGAAGGCAGCCACACCACCTTTCCCTTGAGATGAACTGATGTACTACACAATTCAATTAAGGGGAAAAAGCTCCTCTTACAGAGAACGTTGCAGTGTGAGGAGAAAACGGCTGTTGCCCTTAAGAAATACTTTCCCCAAACATAAAAAGTGTCCCTAGCGTCTACATGTGGTCAGCTGTGTATAAAATCACATAAAAGTTCACATATTTCATAACCATGATGACAAATTATTCACCTTAGGAGCCTCCTGGGACTGTAGATTTATTACCTAGTGATATGGACTTTCCTGGAAGATTATGTGGCTGTTATTATTACCCACCACAAATGAGTACCAGTGTTTTTGGCAGGTCCAAACCTTAGAGTTACAAATGAAGCAGAATCTCAACGTATTCTGTTTATTCGTTGCTCCAAAGCCTAATTTCAAATCACTATGTAACCAAATATGCTTCCTCATCTTCCTGATGGAGCAGGGAAGTGTGGAGAGAATGATGTGATGTATTATCTGAGGGACAGCTTTTGGGAGGGAGGAGGAAGACAAAGGAACTGAGGATGGAGCCGGAGAAAGAAGAAAGAGAAAGATACAGCAGGGAAATAGAGAATAAAGAGATTGACAGAAATGGGGCTGGAGTCAGAGGGAGGGTATGAGAGACAGAAACTCACACAGAGAGAAATACACTCAGACAAACACTGAAAGAAAGAGAGGAGAATAAGAGAAGGAGGTCAACTCATAATAATCAAGCACCATCCAATTTTTTCACTTCTCAACATCAATTTTTTTTTTTTAATTTAGATTTTCAGGTCCTGGGTATGTATATTTCAAGGCGTATTTTGAGCCAGCAGGCATGAATGTAAACATGAACATAAACTAGGCCATAAAATAACCCCTTTGCATGTAGGGAAGACATTCTGGCATTTAACTGAATGATAATTAATTACAGATTATTAAAGAAAGCAAACAGAAAAAGCTATTCAGGCAACCTCACTTTTGTTTTAAACAAAACTTTTTATTTTCAAGGGAATAAGTCAATCAAGGATCAGATATTTATTAAGTGGTATTTTTCTTTCCATACACATAAAGAGAAACATAGTTTATACAGTCTTTCCCTGAATGGCATATTGATAACATTACTGGAATTGGATTCTAGACACACACACACACACACACACACACACACACACACACACACACACACACCNACACACACACACACACACACACACACACACACACACACACACACACCCCATGTGATTTCAAGTTAAGGATTAATCCCATCAGTATACAGTAAATCAAGCCCAAAGCACTATATATAACCTCCACTTTAAAATGAAAGCAAATGCTAACCCGAACACAGCCAGAAAGGCATTCTTGGCTTTTCTGTGAAGTGCTCTGCCATATGGCCCCAACAACATTTTCAATCCAGGCAGAGGCAGATGTAAGAGGCTCCTGGGCTGACCACTGCTGCAGCCCACAATTAATCTCTGACCATCAGTTCCTACACAATCTTAGAAGCATCAATGCTAATCACATTGGAAGCCTTTCTATGAATGTTTAGGCCCTTAAAGGCAAGCAGGGGAAAAGGTCAACAGTATTTAACATAACTAAGCAGCGCTGGAAGAACACAACAATAAATTTAAAAAGACTTATTCAACTTATTGACGTCAGCCTCCCACCACATACTCTTATCCATTTTTCTGATTCAATCAACTAGCTAGTCATACCTCTTCTGAGATTAAACTAACACACACACACACACACACACCCTCCCAACTGCCAGAAAATATAATCATAAATAGCAACTATGCAAAAAAGAAAACACAACAAAACATTCCATAATAATCAGCTTGCCAAATGGCTCATCAAATTAGGTACTCGATCTTTCATAAGCCACACAAAAAAGGGGGAACTTTTGGTTGTTTTCCATTTCTGGAGTGCACTCGAGAACAATTGAGAGGAAGCGAGACATAATGCAAGATCACAGAGTTTGAACAGAAGACAGTATTGAAGTCCCAGTTCTGCTGATAAGTCATTTACTCACAGTGAACTATTAGTATAGGAGCATCCCCACCTAGAAACTTCCACAGAGGGACTCAAAGCGAGCTGTCAATACACTGCATCAATGATTACAAATAGTCGTCATTCCTGCTGTCACTAGTTTAGGTTTATTAAAACACATACCATCTCAGTGAGAGGCAAGTACAGACATCCTGGCTACTGAGGGGTCCCTAAAACCACAGGCTTTACCTGACTTCATTATTTTCAATGTTCTGGTGACCAAAGAACATTATCAGCCAGGAAGACAACATTATGCCTGGTTTCAAGTCTTCAACAGACCTACTTAAACTCGTATTTGATGAAAATGCTCCTGGGATACTGTGAGTTAAAATCTGTCGTGGTCACTCTGGACTCATGAATGGCTATGGTTCATTTTACAGATCAAGAATTATTTCTAAGGGGCCGGCCGAGTGGCACGTTGGTTAGGAGTTGGTTTGGGATGCCAGCTCTGAGCAGTAGGGTCCTGGTTCGGATCCCACATGAGGGCCAGTGACGCTGCGCCCTCTACAGCTTAAGATGGTGAACAACAGCTCGACCTGGAGCTGGGCTGCCATGAGTCGTCGGCAACGGCATAGGCTGCAGTGGGGCTGGTTGGCAGCAGGTGTGCGCTTTCGTGAGCTGCCGTGAGAGGCCATCCTATGGCCGGCGAGCGACTGCCTCACCCGGGAAGAGCGCAATGATCACAATACCAACATGGGCCAGTGACGTGACATCCTCCACAACTAGACTGAAGAACAAATGGACAGCAACTTGTCTGTTCCCCTTCCCCGATTCCCCAACGCTGTTCCCCTCCCCCAATTCCCAACAGAATCTTAAAAAAAAAAAAAAGAATAAGACGCCTCCTAATTCGTAAGAATAAGATGAATTTGAAAAGTAAAAGACAGTAGACTGAGAACGAGGAGTCTAAGTTATGGTCCTAGCATTTGGCCACTCATCAGTCACTTGACTTCTCAAATGTTTCATCTTCAAATTTATTTTTATTCACTAAACAAGAATTTACTGAAGGCCTACAATGCATTAGATTTAATGAAACAAACAAAAACACAGAACAGAAAGATCCCTGTCCCACAGAAAGGATTAAACAAACAATATTACAACAAAATAGGGTAGGTGGAACAGCAGGAAAAGGAGAAAAAACTAACAGCACATTCCCGGTTGTACAAACCTAGAAATTACCCTGAATGCCTCTCCTCACTCATCAGCCAATACCAACTTGTTGGGATTTTAAAGAAATTCTCTTGCATAGGCGACATTATTTCTCATTGTTTATTGCCCCGCTTCTCCGTGTTGATGAGAGTAACTGGATGTAATAACAAAAGTTTTCATTGATATTTTAATGTTTGAAAGCCTTAAAAATATAGCCCAAGAATTATTAGTCTAAAAGTATTCTTATATTTAAGTCATCTGCTATGCTTTCATTTGCCAAACAAATAAAATAAATGCAACAAGTGTACTGAAGTGTCTGTGTCTTGGTTTTAATAAAAGCTAACATTAGGTACTAATCAGTTAAATTGTAGAATTTTTCCCATCTTAAGAGAGAGAAGCATTCTAAATTTCAGAAAGCTAAAAAGCATGCCTTTGGTGGTAACATTCCATGTCACTGCCAAGAATCATGAATCCATTTCCACTGCCTTGTGGGGTTGTCAGAAATCCTGCCCATATAAAAAGTGGCATTAGAAACAATGCCATTCTAGCAGCCATGAACACCCAGATTTGTTTTCTAAATACCACCCTCCAATAAAGGAAACCAGGGATCCTTGGAACAATGGTTGCTTCCAGAGTTCAGTCATGGAAAAATGTAAGAGAAGCCTGGAACATCTGGTGAGGCCAGAAAGTAAAAATGCTCAAAATAAGGGTTGGGGGCTTGTTACAAAAACACAGAAGCCAACATGAAGAAGCCCTAATGGCCAAAGCTAGAACAATTTGAGAAGCAAAATAAACGACAATGTTAAATTTTCACTCAGACTAAAGTAAGTATCTGTAAGTCCATTCTGATATAAAAAATAGGGAAAGGGAAGGGATAGCTCTTCCTTACAACAGAATTCCAATTAATAAATACAGAAGGAAAGATGGAATTAGAAAAACCACAATAGGCAAACATTACGGTAACAACTGTGACAGACAAAATCCACCAACGGATGCTAAAATTAGTGGGGGGAAATGTGAGGCAAACATTTGCATAGTGCCAACGTATCTCCCCCAAGATATTTATAATCCCAAAGGAGACGTCAGTAACTGTACAGTGGAAAACCAAGCAGACACCCCTCAGCCAGGTAGGTGGTCACCAATAACAAGACTGACCAACATCATGGTCCCACTGATATAACGCCCTGAGAACACAACATCGGTTCTGTGGTATTTCTGCCAAAATGCATGAACTCATTCCATTTGTGAAAAAAATATCAGCCAACCCAGACTGAGGAACATTCTATAAAATAACTGATGCGCAGTCTGCAAAAGTGTCAAAGTCATGAAAGAAAAGGAAAATCTAGGGAACAGGGTGAAGGAGACAAGAAAACTAAATGCAATGGACAAACTGGGGGGATCCTGGAACAGGAAAATATAGTAGAAAAAACTGCTGGAATTCAAGTAAGGTCTGTAGTTCAGTTAATAGTATTATTTTAACCTTATCTTAATAATTCTACTACAGTTACATAGTATGTTACTTAGCATAATTACATAGTAATATTAACATAAGGTGAAGCTAGGTAAGTTGTATACAAGAATTCTCAGTACTATTTTTGCAACTTTTTACATGTCTAAAATTAATTCAAAATAAAAAGTTTTTAAAGAAAAAACATCAAAAAAGTAAACTAAAAGAGTGGCATTAACGCACCAGTCAACTTTGAAGACAAAACCAGAATGGCACAACTGACATTCCATCCATAGATGCCAGAAAGACAATTTTCAGGTGAAAAAAGAAAGACCTTTTCCGAGGAAGGGGAGGGTGAGGGTGAGGAGTGGGAGGGAAGAAAAACATGATAATCATTTGACAAGATGATTTTACAATGTTTTTATCTGTGTAGGTGATGGAGGGAGTAATCATTTAGGAAAATGGTTAGAATTTGAAACTTTATCAATACATTCACAACATATTATTTTAGCCAAATAATATAAACATTCCTTTGTCTTCCCTTTAAAAAATATTACATTGATGGGCCGGCCGAGTGGCGCGATGGTTAAGAACTGGCTTGGGATGCCAGA